TTAAATATGAAATCGATGCATTTTATTATTCGTGTAATCTTTCATTCGAATAAAAAATAGTGTTCGATACGAGGGCGAAAATTTGTTTTTCGAACACCTGACGGATTGACACCCGAGACGAAGTCGAAAACGACATTTTTCGCCCTTGTATCGAAAACTACTATTTTAATCTCGATTTCTGTTGTCTGTTGGTTGAAAGTCTGCAGCAGTTTTCCTCAAAAACCTTTAAAAATCTCGCAAAAACTTGAACAACCAGGACCTTCAAGCCGATTTCTTCCCATCACCATTTGCACTTTATTTACGTAATTATTTATTTTATATGTTTGTTTTGCTTTTCACATCCTTTTGCGATTCAGCCCCTACGGCAGTATCGGTCTTCGACTGACTTTGGACGCTCCTCCTCAGCACAATGGTCCTGTCCTGGTTGTTGTCGTGGAAGTTGATGTTGAAATGGACTTGCGATTTCGGCTTCATAAATTTCGCGCTTGGATCTGCTGCTTTCAAGCTCGTCGTTGTTTGGTGTCGTTCTAGCAAATTCCATTCCATTCCAAGTAAGTAAAGCTGTGGGTGTTTAGAACCCGCACTTACCGCAGGCGGCCACAGTGGGCATGTTCCTGGTGGAAGGTCGCGAGTTTAGACGCTTGCTCAACTCGCGCTTTGCAGGAAAATTTTCCGGTAATATTTGAATGCCTTTATGGCTCTGTGAGGCTGCTGCTTGCCGACTTGGAGTGATCCGAAGCAAGGGTTTAGGCGTGCTGAAATTCGCACAATGAGAAAACCAGTCTGCTCCACCTCACTGATCTCACCCTGCGGGAGTAGGGGTGGTTTTGATGCTAATGCGACTGCGGGTTTCTCCATTTGCCATCGGGATTTCTTCCAACGTCACCTCGTAGTTCTGCTGGGGATCTTCGCTTCCCACTGCTGGCTCCAAGTAGGGTCTGAAAAATCCAATTGTAGACCGTCTACAGCTTTCAGCATTCGGCTGTTTTACTCCTTTTGCACTGCGGGCTCGTTGTCAAATGCACTATGTCTTCTGCTCGTATTGGAGGCTACGGCATGTGGCTCTATTGGCGTGTCGCTGACTGGGTCTCTGAAATAGTTCACTTACCAACTGAAGAGTAGGTAGGTTCTTACAAGTCTAACAGTGGCAAGAACGCCTATTCTTACCCCACCCAATAGGCGGTACTCTGACCAGACACTCCCGACTGTTTCTGAGGAGTTTGAATCCTTTGGGAGGCACTGGGGCCCAGACTGAGGCCCATGCTTTGACTAGCGCCAGCTCTGGCCATGCTTTGGTAGGCGCTAGGACTCATACTGGGCCTGCCGCTACTCATTTGAGCATGCGATGGGCAGACTGCAGAACTAAGAGGACTGTGGTAAGCAGTTTGCCCTTGTCCAAGCCTTCCGGCCTCCGCTTGGCTGTAACGAAGCAGCGCCCAAATCTTCACAAGAAACCGCCTAAGAAACTGTAACCTACTTGACGCAGTAGGTTCGGGTGGAGCTTGTGGTGTATCGGGAGCTTCCTAGGCTCTGACTGGGCCCACCACGGTCGAAATTGTTATAAATGCTGGGTCTAATCCCTTCTTCCTCTATGCTGTGGTACTGATTGAACGGCCGAGTAACTTGGGAAGCATTATGTGGGCTCACTGTTTGGTATGGCATTGACTGGCCGGACTTATAATTGCTAGAGATTGTGGTCGGGTAAACATTAGATGAAGCGGGCTGATATGAATTGGCCGGGGAAAGTGGCATGCTTGGTCTACCACAATGTTGCATGGGTTCCCTTGTTTCTGAGCAAATACTTCCCTCAATCCCACTGAGCTTCGCCAGGCTGGGGTCCAAAGGGCCACTTTGCTGGGTTATGGTGGGCTCCATTAAACTCGCTGCGCCTGAACCTGAAATTTTGCCCTTGAGTTTCTGATGTTTAAAGAACAAGCATGTTCCAATTGAAAATGTGTCTCAATTAAACGTTATACGCACAAATGGAGCCAACGTAGCTAGCAGATCTTTCAGCGCAGTTTTGCATGTCCACGTAGCTTCCAACCAGGTTTTCCATGTTGATTGGCTGAGTGATTGTTTGGGCGCATTCCGTTGTCATCCTTGGTTCTTCTATGTACGATATTGTCTCGAAATCGTCATCAGACTCCACGTCGTCATCTACTGCAGACAGAGTATTTGCAACAACGGCTTTTTTTTCACGATTTTCATTGGCGTGTTCAATTGAAACAAAGATGAAAATATTTGCGCGCAAAAACATGTTTATTGAATATTAACAGGAGTAATTGGACAAGACGATGTAACTGATTTCTTTCTGATTATGGCAATTTTCTACAAAGGCGGACGACCAAGTGTACACTTGGATGGCTTGGGGCAATTGGGGGACTTTAACTGATGCTCTCGCAGGCAAATGAGCTTGGGAGTGGGCTTTTTAAGCCGTAGTTTTCCTGCGGACATTTTGCCACTGGAAAAATCGGTTTTAACCCTAAATGTTTCCTATCAATTGCCTACAAGGACTACCAAAAATTTCCCAGATCCCCCTTGAAGCTCGTTTGCGAAGAGCAGGTTCTCATGCCATTATTTGCGCTGAAAGGACACGTTATCCGCTCTTCTTCTATAATGATCGAGTAATGGTCGGTTTCGTCCCCTGCAGATCTAGCGCTCTGAGCCACGCAGTTTTTCCTGAAAATCGCACTGAAGGTTGCAAGCTTTTGTTTCCTGTTCAATTTCGTACATTTTTTTGGCCCTCCTTTTCTTCACCAGGGGAAACTTCCGCTGCGTGGTAGCCGCCTTTAGAGGACGAATCTTCCCGCAAGCTCTACATTTCTCTGCAAAACCAATTGGGTTGATCAAAGAATTTGAAAATGTTTCTGTCGTTAAAAGTGGGTTTGGGGGCACAATTTTCAAATTCTTAGAAAGCGCCCACATTGCCGCTGTTAGGGCGGTAAAGAAAGAATCAACTTACCTTTGAACCAACTGGTAAGTTAACTTGAACACTGTCACCTTCTAAGAAATTGAGAGTTGCGACTGCGAGTCGGTTAAATTAGCAATTCGCTCAAGTAAACTAAGGCTACGCTTAAGGCCGCGACCTTCATTTGAAGATTGTCTGGACCCTCGCGACTCCAAATTGATCGTTTTTAGAGTCTATGTTTACCTGGAAGTCGCAGATTGGTCTCGCAAAGGGCGTGGCACCGTCGAATTATATCATCCGGGTCGAAGGACTGTCCTCCTGGCCCATACCCTTCTCCCTGCGGAAGTTTCCGTTTGAACAGAACATGTCCCTATTGAACCTCCCTACTCACATATCTGCTGCAGTTATCCGCCTGCATGTAGGCCTCATTGAATTGATCGAAGGTGGGCCCCATTGAGTCCTCCCTTTCCTCAACTACCACACATTCCCGTTCCCCACATCCTACCAAAGAACTAATCAACCACGATCTCTTTAAGCCCTTGGAAACTGCTACCTTTATCTGAGCATCTACACTCTCTCTGCGTGTAGGTGCACATGCCATCGTCCTCTACAATGATGCAATGCTTGCTGGTGTTGCAGCTTCTATCCAGACATCTGCAATTCGTCCACTCATTTATGCGCGGGTTCTTAAGCTGGAGGAACCTACCTGCAAGGGGCGTTGCTAGCTTCGCAGTTTAGCCCCACTGTGCAAATGGAACCATCGCAAAAATCCGTCTCGCATCTGCAGGAAGCGGGCAAAAAATTGCAAATGGGGTCGGTTTGCACTTCAACACCCTCATTGAAGGGGCAGTTTCTGAAGTTGGGGCCACACACTTTCACTTCGCAGCATAACTGGCATTCATCTGCAAAACAGTCCACTGGAGGGTTTACTTTATTGGGCCCTCGGCCTTACTTTCGTGGCAATTCGTTCTGGTTCCAAGACAGGCTGGACAATCTACAAAAGAAATTGGGGCAATTTCTTGGGGAGTTACTTCGGGAGTACAGTACCTCCAACTCCAGTGTCTTTGCAGGTTTGGAGGGCAAAGTTTTTGGATCCGTAGACTGAAACAGGTGGGCAAATATATGGAGGAAATACCTACTGAAAGTTTCGTTCGAACCTAGATCGTCATCATCATCCAGGCCATTTCTTCGGCTTGCCACTGATCTTCTGGAAGGGGCGGCTGAAACGGACAAATTAATCGGGTTTTCTGGAAAAAGTGCGTTTGCTTCACCTGCCACTGATATTCGCTTTTGGCTAACGCCGCTCGGCTGGTACGTCAAGTTATTAGCGTTGGATCGACCTGCTTTAGCTAACAGATAAATGGAGATAAGCAGAGAGGAGGCGATTAATTGGACAAATTTTGATTTATTTTCCTGACTTTCTTTCCTGGGTTTCAGTCAAATTGTGAAGGAAAAATGT